GATCTGCTGTGAGTCTGTTGGGCTTCCCTTTGTGGGTAACCTGACTTTTCTTTCTGGCTGCCCCTAACATTTTTTCCTTCTTTTCAACCTTGGTGAATCTGACGATTAGGTGTCTTAGGGTTGCTCTTCTTGAGGAGTATCTTAGCTGTGTTCTTTGTATTTCCTGAATTTGAATGTTGGCCTGTCTTGCTAGGTTGGAAAGTTCTCCTGCATAATGTCCTGAAGAGTGTTTTCCAGTTTGGTTGCATTTTCCCCATCACTTTCAGGTACACCTGTCTACTATAGGTTTGGTCTTTGCATAGTCCCATATTTCTTGGAGGCTTTGTTTGTTCCTCTTCATTCTTTTTTCTCTAATCTTGTGTTCATGTTTTATTTCATTAAGTCCATCTTTAATCTCTGCTATCCTTTCTTCCACTTGATCAGTTCAGCTATTGATACTTGTGTATGCTTCACAAAGTTCTCATGCTGTGTTTTCACAGCAAGGTCATTTATGTTCTTCTCTAAATCGGTTGTTCTAGTTAGCAGTTCTGTAACTTTTTATCAAGGTTCTTAGTTTCCTTGCATTGGGTTAGATCCTGCTCCCTTAGCTCGGAGAAGTTTCCTATTACCTACCTTCTGAGGTCTACTTCTGTGAATTTGTCAAGCTCATTCTTCATCCAGTGTTGTTTCCTTGCTAGCGAGGAGTTGTGAACCTTTGGAGAAGAGAGTTTCTGGCTTTTTGAATTTTAGCATTTTTGTGCTTTTTCCTCATATTCTTAAAGTTATGTACCTTTGATATTTGATGCTGATGACCTTTGGATGGGGTTTTTGCATGGGCATCCTTCTCGTTGATGTTGATGTTATTGCTCTCTGTTTGTTGGTTTTCCTTCTAACAGTTGGGCCCTTCTTCTGCAGGTGTGCTGGAGTTTGCTGCAGGTCCACTCCAGACCCTAATTGCTTGGGTCTCACCAGCGGAGGCTGCAGAACAACAAAGATTGCTGCCTACTTCTTCCTCTGGAAGCTTTGTCCCAGAGGGCCACTGCCGGATGCCAGCCAGAGCTCTCCTTTATGAGGTGTCTGTTGACCCTGCTGTAATGTGTTTCCTAGTCAAGGGGCATGAGGGTCAGGGACCCACTTGAGGAGGCAGTCTGTCCCTTAGCAGAGCTCAAGCGCTCTTCTAGGAGATCCATTATGCTCTTCAAAGCTGGCAGGCAGGAATGTTTAAGTCTGCTGAAGCTGCACCCACAGCTGCTCCTTCCCCCAGGTGCTCTGTCCAAGGAAGATGGGAGTTTTATTTATGATCCCCTGACTGGAGCTGCCTTTCTTTCAGAGATACCCTGCCCAGAGAGGAGGAATCTAGAGAGTCAGCTGACATATTTTTTTATACCTCATGCCTACTTATGATCTTGCTTGATCAGTGAAATCTAATTTTAAGAATTTTGAAAAGAATTTTAAATATTTCTTTTGCACTGATATTTGCCTTCAAACATGCTAAACTTCTCACTTATCCTCAAACAACAACCACCAATTTCTTTTGATCCAACCATTTTGTCAAGTTCCTGTGTCCTTCCTTTTTCTTATCACATTTCTTAGGATGGCAGTTGCACTTGATGTGTGTGCTTTCTGAACTCACCTGCAATCTCCAATTGATTACAGTTTGGGTTTATTTTTCTTACCATTGAGGGAAACTATTTTAATTAGGAAGACAATGACCTGTTCCAGTTCAAATCCAACATTTTAAAATTCTGCATCCTCTTTAACATTTGCTTAGCATTTGACAGTAAGCCATAGCTATGTGTCAAGATTTGTGTTTTTAAGAGTTCAGCATTGTACACAAATATTTTTTAAGCTCTATATAAGGAAATATTGCTAGAATTGGAAGTTGTAAAACTCCTCTTTCTTGAGATCTGCTCCAATGTGTTATACTCTACACATCAGTTAATGCCCTTTGTATGTTACTGTGTCATTTCTCACTTCTTTCTTTTTCTCAACTCTCAAATCCAGGAGAATGCCAAATCCTGAACCTTCTACCTGAGAAATATTTCTTAGTCATTCTTCTTCCCAGCAGCGATTGTGATAGGAAGTCCTCATTGTTCTCTCAATTAGAAAATGTAATTGTCCCTAATTGATTTTTCCTGTTACTAGTGTTCCATACTTGAGTCATTTTTCATACTGTAAACCAAATCCAATGATATAGATATCTCTCCCATGAAGTTCTCTGTCATTTGTCTGTTGTCTCCAAGATGAAGCTCTAATACCCTATTTCAGGATTTCACAGGGTGGTCCCTAGATCAGGAGAAGCAACATCTCCTGGGAACTTATTAGCAAAACAAAACCTTTGATCCTGTCTCGGAGCTATTGAAGCACAAACACTTTAGTCCAGGGTCTATGATGGAACAAACCCTTCGGGTGATTCTGATTCACACTAAAGTTGGAGAACCACTGCCCCAGCTGACTAGTAGAATATCCTCTTTTTTCAGGCTGCTCCCAGACTTCACAGCCCCACTTGCATTTGTATTTCTTTTGCACTTGATGTAATTTTCTCATTGACTATGTCATCTTGAAAATGCCAGACTTTACGACTGACCTTCCAGACTGGAATACCACACCGAATGTTTTTTCCTGGCACACTGTTTTTATTTTTTCACTATCCATTTCAAATGCTGTGAGATTTCCGATCTCCCTCAAGATTCATTCTTGCTCTGTCTGTCCTCTACTGGTATTTTATTCACATCTCCGTAATAGCATTTACCATGCCATATCTTAATTTATCTTTCTATATAATATTTTCCTCCTAAGACTGTGAAATTCTTACATATAGACTAGGTCTTGTTCATCTTTGTACCCCTACTGGCCTAGCTTGCTGTTTTCTGTTTTTCTCTCTCCATTTTTTTTTATTGGCCATCTCTTTACACAAAATTTTCAAGAGTGGGAAACTATTTTCCAAGTGAAATATTTCAACTAATCACCTTAATGGTAGTCAAGAAGCTTGGCAACTGTTACAACTTTGTAACAGCCTTTTTGCATATAAGAGGAACCAGTCTCCTGTTCCTCTTATCTGCATACATAAAATGACAGTAATTAATTGAGACAGCCTGATTCCTCTCACACACTTGCCATGTGTTCTTTCTATTCTACTTTATCCATGTGCCCTCATAGGTCTCTTTTATACAACTTCCTTTGTGACCCCCAGATTCCAACAACAAGGATATAATGTTTCCCAGGTGATTTCTTTCTATTGTTCAAAAATCCTGTTTCATTAGGTGCAGTTCTTTCAATTCCTTCTCCTGATTTTTAAAAAACCAGATTGCTATTTATGATAAGAAACACTGTGTGGTGAAGAGATGAAGGAACCTCAGGGTTTGGGCTCTGTTTGATGGCCTATTTCATTAAAATACAGCCCTCTCCCCTTGATCATACTTAATTCTATAAGATGGACATAAAAGTGGCAGTTTTACTCCAGGTGGAAAATACATTAGTTTCAAAAAATGGGAGCTGATATTTTCAGATCAGTTTGGAGTAGCTTTGCCATTACTATGGACTTGTGATAGGTGTCTTCATGTTTCCATAGCTTGATGTTAAACTGCTTAGTAAGTAACTATACCAAAGCACCAAATTTAATTCATTAGCTAAAATGCTTAATGCAGTTTCAACTGGTAATTGTACATTTACAGCAAAAGTCATGTGCCGTGTTTCAGAGAAATGAAATTAGAGTTAAGCTAAAACAGATTATTTTAATTACCAACTAAACAGGTTAGAACACTTTTTTGATTAAAATCTAAAAATCAGTAAATAATTTTTAAATGATATCTTAATTTCATCAGACTATTAAATATTCCTTAATGACTTCCACAGATGTATTTTATGATATGCAGAAAACCACATCTGCAAAACCAGAAGCAGAGTGACTTCTTAATGTGATTTTCATTGTCATCAACAGGGACAGATTTTTGACAGATCTCATTGTTAGATCTGAACTGTTAGAGCCGTTTCTTTCCCAGCTGCAATTAATTCCAGCTTGACACAATGGTTAATATGGACATCTAGTTCATGAGCTAAATCTAAAGCCCTGTTAAATTTACTTCATGTAAGGAAATCTTAGGGTCGACCTGCAGCAATTTCTTATGGTAAAGAAAGAGAACTGTTGTAATACTTTGAACTCCAGGTAAGTGAGAGACAATAAATTTGAGTCCCTCTGATGTTCCACTTCAAGATAATAATAGATCTATTCTTAAGAAGTACATAAAGCATAAGCATTTTGAGCCATAGTATCTATGGAAAGGGCACATTTGGAGACCAGTTGTTCGAGGTGCCGACATGCTGTCCATATGTCTCAGTCCGCTGTGATGGGCAACTGAAGCCATATAAATCCAACGCTTTTTTCCCCCTGCAGGCTCTGTATAATCCTTTCCATGTCAAAGGCAGAAAGGACATCGTCCTACAACAGATCTCTGCCCTTGAACTTTTTAGCCTCTGCCAATGGTGAGAGTTGTTAATTACCCATCATAAATTGCCTTCTCTGAGCATTTCCAAATGTTTGCCCCCGATTTTGCCTATTAGGATGGTGTATTTATTAGAAATATTCTGAGGCAGGAGAACAGTCTCATTCTGTATCTTAAAAAATAGGTGTAGGGTCATGCCTGTAATCCCAGCAATCTGGGAGGCTGAGGTGGGCAGATCACGAGGTCAGGAAATCGAGACCATCCTGGCTAACATGGTGAAACCCCATCTCTACTAAAAATACAAAAAATTAGCCAGGCATGGTGACACCTGCCTGTAATCCCAGCTACTCGGGAGGCTGAAACAGGAGAATTACCTGAACCCAGGAGGCAGAGGTTGCAGTGAGCAGAGATTGTGCCACTACACTACAGGTTGGACAACAGCAAGACTTCATCTCAAAAAAAAAAAAAAATGATGTAGGGATTAGGCTGACTGTGGGAAGGAAAGAGAGTAGCAATTTGCCTTCTACCAGGAGAAGCCCTGAGGAGAATTTATCCTTGTCTCACAATTGTCTTTTCCAGCATGAAAACAGATATTCAGACTTGATGATAATGAATTCAACATCAGGCTCCTACTACAGTTTTTTCCTTCTTACTAGTCTTCCGAGAGGGGTGCTCTCCCTGAGCACCCTGGAGAGTGCCGGCTGCATCCTTCTTAGAGAAAGGCAGCAATGCTTGGTAAGTGGGTTTTACCTTGTGCTGTGAGGTGTGTGTGTGTGAAAATGGTAATGGACAGCTTTTCTAATTTCATCAACTATATTATATTCCTTATAATTTAGCCCAGAAAACTAGGTGGAGGATAAGAAAACCCTTGTGATATTGTGTGGGGAAACTGAGTGGCCAGGGTGTTGTTAGGTGCTCTAAAGAATACTGGAGAATGTTCAGCATTCTTCAGGGGAACTTGATAACCGTGGCCTCTGAGGGAACTTGATAACTGTGATCTCTCCATGAGGGACACTTCTTGGCAAGTGTTCCTTGATAAGAAACCTGGAGTTAAAATTAAGAAAACTGGCTGCAATTAAAAATTATAAATTAGTGAAAGTGTCTATAAAAAAGAACCAGATACTGTTTGCGTGTGTGCCAGCATGTGTGTGTGTGTGTGTGTGTGTGTGTGTGTGTGTGTTTTAGGAAGGAAGTTGCTTAAAGAAGTACTCATTCCTCTCCTGCAGAACTAGTTAAAGATTTTTGGTTGATACTGACTGAATTGGATGGATTCTTAATGCTGTTTCAGGCTGGTAATGCTGGTGGCTAAAATGGATGAAAAAGTGTTTGTATGTTAACACCTACAGCCAATTGTGGCTTTTATTTATTCATTCAACACATATTTATTAATCATCAGCTGTGTTCCAGGCACTCAGGCTGGCCCCAGGATACTCTTTCAAGAAAAGCTAAGCATTATTTTTGTAATTACTGTGTGATGAGTGAGGCAGCTCACTTTACTTCTCTGGGCTACATGTCAAGAAAACAATGGTTAAAATAAGTTACTCTAATCCAATCAACACAGCTGGCTTTTGTGGCTATGGGAGCATGTGCCAGAATATCAGAGAAAAGCTGTGACAGGTTGAGCATCCCTACTACATAGATCTAAAATCTGAAATGTTTCAAAATGGAAACTTTTTGAGTACTAAGAAAATCATTTAAAATATTGTATAAAATTACCTTCAGTCTATGTGTATAAGGTGTATATGAAACATAAATGAATTTTACGTTTAGAATTGGGTCTCCTCCCCAAGATATCTCATGATATATGAAAATATTCCAAAATCCTAAAAAATCCGAAATCTGAAACACTTGTGGTTGCAAGTGCTTCAATTAAGGGATACTCAACCTGTACAAAAAAAAATGGTTTACATTCTTTGGTGATAAGTTGATAAAACTTAATGAAACATAAATGTAAGATTGGCAGACAGAAATCCTCTATCTGGAGCTAGATGTTAATTACCGTGATTGAAGATCAATTCTTTCTAATTTACTTAACAAACTACTTTGACTGAATATTAGATTACAAATTATAGAGGAAACCCAAGACCTTCTTCAGTAATTTCACTGTAACAGAATTAGTACTTATTCATTATCCTACAAATATACTTGAACGGCCGATTAATAGTGCTAGAAGCTTGCAGTATAGCAGAGTAAGATGTATAAACCAGTAAGTGTGCTACAATGTCTAAATTCTGAAAAAAAGAAGCTTGAAAGCTCCAGTGTTGGGGGGCATGGGGCGCAAAAAAGGCTTAATAAAAGCCAAAGAATAATTCATTTGTGGTAAGATAATAGTCTCAGCATCCTCTTAAACACTGTGTCTCCTTCCTTTTCTTTTTCCTAACCAGAAAGAAAAGAAAGGTTCCACCATTGGGGTCAGATATTTATAGCTGTTATCTTAAACCTGTATTTTTTTCTTTTCTTTTTTTTTTCTTCATCCTTTTTAACTAAGTGGCTTTTACTTGACTAAACTCTTAGGTAGAAGTAGATGCCTCTAGGCTCTAGAAAGAAGAATCAAAGTAAACAGCTTAGGGAAAAAAAGCTCCTGGGGAAACCCAAAACAACATAAGGGGTAAATGGGGTTTTCTGAATTTAAGTCTGTAAAACTGCATTTTACAGTATTTTGCTAAAGATTCATTCTGAATGAAGATGCACCCAAATAATTTGCTGTAATGTTTATTCATCTCATTTTAATCATGGTTCCTGATAGTTTAAAGAGATTATTAAGCGAAGTTTGTGGGAGGCCATTGCCTTGTTTGGACTGAGCTCCTACACTGAGCTCCAGCACACTATGAAGTCACTCACGCTAGGTGTCATGCACAGTTAGACTGAGCTTCTAAACAGGCACGTTTTCCAGAAATCACAAGACTCACAGCAGCTAAGCAGAAGGGGCCCACTTGACCTGAGCCAGCATGATAAGGAAGCCCCTTCTGTGTTAACTCTGTAAGTAAAGTAACTTTGTAATGACCAATGTGCTTTTGTTCCTGTTTCTACTTTCTTCAGCCCTTTTCTATCTATAAAGCCAACCTCCTTGGCTGTTATCAGAGTACCCATTCTATTTTATAGAATGAGATAATGACCAGCTCTAGAATCAATAATAACAACTAATTACATTTTTAAACTAAACTTGTTGTAATTTTACTTTTTAAATTTTATTTTCTGAATTAGCGTCCAATATATGCAATTGTATTTTTTAACAATATCAATAAAGATGCCTTTATTCTAAGAGCTATATGAGGTGGTTTGATCATATTATTCACTGAATTATAAAGTTAGCATAAGAAAGTTATTAAATGAAACTCTAAATTGTTTGTTAAATTGGTGACCGGTTATTAATCTTATTACATTAATTTGTTAAATTAAATTGGTGACGGGTTATTAATCTTGAAGATAGGAAAGAAGATGTTCATGGATTAGTGTTGGTCCTAAAAGAACTTACTGTCTTGTTTAGGGGAAAAGACTCGGGAAAAATAATCCAAAAAAGAATATAGTCAAGTTTCAAACTATGTTTTATAGATGTTCAGAAATTGTGTTGTGTTGATTTTTGTTAGCATGATGGCCTCCCAAAGAACTGAGTGTTTTTTACAGGCTCCATCCCTTATTCCTGGAGTCATCTTAGGGAAATTTTCTGATATTTTATTGCCTTACAACTGTCCTCTGTAAAGTGGAGAGAAAGATGCCTCACTTGCTGGCTGAGAACTAATAAGATACAATTTTGAGAAGTCATTCTTTTTAATCCCCATGATTTTCACCAACCATGACACACTAAATTTGCCTCACTCAAATACAGCCGTAATGGAATGCTGTTAGAAAATCTTATTCTAATATTCATTCCAGAATTCCTCTCTGTGAACTGTTTCTGTTCAGAATCCGTGTTCATAAATGCTGGGAGTGTGTCAGCTGGTGGCTCCAGATGAAAGGGGAAGCTGCTGTGCATGAGGTAAAAGGAAGAATGTGTTGTTTTGCTACTCAAAAGGCCGGGGGAGGAGAGTGGGATGAAGGGTAGGGAGTAGAGAAGAGACAGGCCAGCAAAATCGAAAAGCAGGTACTGCAGAGAAAGAGTCAGGAGAGAAACTTCAGTGGTGACTGATAAAAATGGACCTGGGGGACAGGATGATACATAAGAAATGTGCTTTTGCCCCGTCTCTCCAGTCATCAGGAGAGTCTATTGAACTTACAAATGCTTTGTTTCCATTTTTGGCAAACACAGTAAAGGAGCTGTTTTATATCTGGCAGCACGTCATGTTGACCCAGATATAAATAAGAAACAAGAGCCCAAGAAGCAGAGGAAGTTGGGAGACAGGAAGCTGCTCAGAAATTAGCCCACAATCATGCAAGGGCTCATGACTTCTGTAGCCAATGGAAATGTGAGGTTCATTCTAGGTTTATGTAAATACCCAAGGGTTAAATGAACTCCCTTATTGGATGTGACACCAATTTGTAAGGACATCAGAAAATAGTCCACATTGTTTCAAAGTTGGCTCCCTTACTTTTAATATATATCAGGGTTTAGAATATGATACCCCAAAATATGGCACCTTGGCATAAGCAGATAGCTCACTCTCTGACTTTCTCCAACCTTCTCTCTGGAGGCCATAAAAATCATTCTCTCTCCCTCCCTGTGGAGAATGAAGACCCCTTTGAGACAGGTGTCCTACTGTATACCCAGAGAAAAGGAATGAAGATGTATACAACCACAGCAGAACCTGAACAAACAGGCCTTCCTAAGTTACCCCGGTTTATTGATCATACCCTTTTTGATCAATCAGAGTTTTCTGTTTGTTTAGGCAGAGTCTCTCTCTGTCGCTCAGGCTGGAGTTCAGTGGTGTGATCTTGGCTCACTGCAACCTCTGTCTCCCGGATTCAAACTGCTCTCCTGCCTCGGCCTCTCCAGTAGCTAGGATTACAGGTGCCCACCACACCTAGCTAATCTTTATATTTTTATTAGAGAAGATGTTTCACCATGTTGGCCAGACTGGTCAATCTGACTTTAATATGACTGTCCATTCTTTATCAAACGTAGGCATAAAAATACACAGCTTTTCCTAGGTCTTCGGGTTTTCACTTCTGAAGTTTCCTGTGTCATATAAAATTTTGGTTAAATAATTTTGTTTTGCCTTTTTCTTGTTACTCTGTCTTTTGTTGTAGATGTCAGCCACTGATTGTCGACTTTACAACGGGTGTGCAAAAGATACTACTTTTTCTCTCCTGCATATCTAATGAAATTCTTCAGTTTAAATCCTTAGATGTAAACCAGTAATATCCCTGATCTTTGTTTTGTACTAACGGTCTTGACTTTTCCTAACAAGTACATCCTTGTGGATTATTACGGTCACCTACGTGGTCTTCAGAAAAGAAAAATAAATTTACTTTACTGGTGATCATGATGAGACAATATTCTGTAAGTGGAGATGCCTTATAAAACTGTTTTTGTTCCATTTGTACACAGCTATTTTTAAAGGTATAGTTTTAAAATTCACAATTCTCGCTCTTTGAGACTTCAATTACAAAGTCAAGTATGGCTGTTCTTAACATTTAATTCGCACTTGAGGCCAGTAGTTCAAGACCAGCCTGGGCAACCTAGTGAGACCCTATCTCTACAATTTTTTCTTAATCAGCTGTGCATTTAACTGACACGTGCCTGTAGTCCCAGCTACTTGTGAGGCTGAGATGAAAGGATTGCTTGAGCACAGACATTCAAAGCTGCAGTGAGCTATAGTCACAGCGCTGTACTCCAGCCTGGGCAGTAGAACAAGATCCTGTCTCGAAAAGAAAAAAAATGATTCTTGCATTCAACAACATTGCCTTTCATTTTGTCTGTTTCCTTTTCTTCCCAACTGTGACCTCCTTACTGAGTTATGCTCTAGCTCCCAGATTCCTTTTTCGATAGTCTCTGTAATTGGAATTGGAGTTGTGAGAGGAATACACATTCCCGCAGAGCCTGCTGCAATAGTTTAAGCCTTATTCACACAGGCAAATTTTAACTGTGATGTCATCTCAGTAAAATGTTATACAATTTCGGTGTCATTTAAATATTCTGTGACATTGACCAGGCATGGTGGCTCATGCCTTAATCCCAGCACTTTGGGAGTCCGAGGCAAGCGGATCACCTGAAGTTGGGAGTCTGACACCAGCCTGACCAACATGAAGAAACCCTGTCTCTACTAAAAATACAAAATGAGCCAGGTGTGGTAGCATATGCCTGTAATCTCAGCTACGCGGGAGGCTGAGGCAGGAGAATCACTTGAACCTGGGAGACGGAGGTTGCAATGAGCCGAGATCACGCCATTGCACTCCAGCCTGGGCAACAAGAGCAAAACTCTGTTTCAAAAAAAAAATTTTTTTGTGACACTTTCAGAGGGCACTTTCCAATACACAAAATCATCTCTTGCATTATCTGAGAGAATGACAACTGTTTTTAAAATTACTCTGAAATTCCTAGAAAACCAAACCAAACCAAAAGCCTCACTATATTTTTTATTTTACCAGGAAATAAACATTTTTCCCTAGTCATATTTAGGTTGTGGTGAGAGTTAAATAATATGTATGACATGAGAGAACATTGTTTACCATAAATCTTTGTATAGACACTCCTATTTTATTAGCTATTTTCAGACTATCAGAAACTAATATTTCCCCTTCATTTCCACAGGCAACAGTGATCCTAGACCAAATTCCTTCTTTTCTCTCTCCAAATTGGTTATGATCACACTTTCTCAGGTTGGTCAACTATATTTAGGCAAGAGGGAAAAGGAGAGACAGGCTGTCACTGGTCAAAAAACACAGATACAAGGGCTTTTCAAGTTAGTCTTGGAGAATTTCATGACATTCCAGGGTTTTTACTGCTTCTGTGAATAAATTGTTTCTCCTGCTCCCATGTAGGAAATGGTTCAGCTTTGGCAAGCCATTTGAGCCTTCATTTCTGCTGTTGAATGTGCCCCTCTCAATTCCATGCGTGGGAAACCAAATTCCCTATGTGGCAGTATGGCAACGTGGAACATTTAAGAAGTGAGTGTATCATGAGTGCTCTGCCCTCATGAATGAATTAATCTACTGATGACTTAATACATTGATGGGTTAATGGATTAATGGGCAATCATGGGAGTGGAACTGGTGGCTTTCTAAGAGGAAGAGAGGCCTGAGTCAGCATGTTAGCATGCTCAGCCCCCTCACTATGTGATGGTCTGCACTGCTGCAGGACTCTGCACAGTCCTCACCAGGAAGAAGGCTCTCACCAGACACTGAGCCATGCCCTTGGACTTCCAAGCCACCTGAATTGTAAGTAATTTCTTTTCTTTATAAATTACGCAGTTTCAGGTGTTCTTTTTTCTTTTTTAAATTATACTGTAAGTTCTGTGGTACATGTGCTGATCTTGCAGGATTGTTGCACAGGTATACACATGCCATTGCGGTTTGCTGCCTCCATCCCCTCCCCGTCATCTACATTAGGTATTTCTCCTAATGTTATCCCACCCCCTGCTATCCCTTCCCTAGCCTCCCCACCCCTCAACAGACCCCAGCATGTGATGTTCCCCTCCCTGTGTCCATGTATACTCATTGTTCAGCACCCACTTATGAGTGAGAACATGCGGTGTTTGGTTTTCTGTTCTTGTGTCAGTGTGCTGAGGATGATGGTTTCCAGATTCATCCATGTCCCTGCCAAGGACATGAACTAATTCATTTTTTATGGCTATATAGTATTCCATGGTGTATATGTGCCATATTTTCTTTATCCACTCTATCATTGATGGGGGTTTGGGTTGGTTCCAAGTCTTTGCTATTGTAAACTGTGCTGCAATGAACATATGTGTGCATGTGTCTTTATGACAGAATGATTTATAATCCTTTGGATATATACCCAGTAGTGGGATTGCTAGGTCAAATGGAATTTCTAGTTCTACATCCTTGAGGAATCGCTACTCTGTCTTCCACAATGGTTGAACAAACTTACATTTGCACCAACAGTGTAAAAGCGTTCCTGTTTCTCCACATCCTCTCCAGCATCTGTTGTCTCCAGATATTTTAATGATCGCCATTCTAATTGGTGTGTGATGGTATCTCAATGTGGTTTTGATTTGCATTTCTCTAATGGTCAGTGATGATGAGCATTTTTTTCATTTTTTTTTTTGGCCATGTAAATGTCTTCTTTTGAAAAGTGTCTGTTCATATCCTTTGCCCACTTTTTGATGGGTCCATTTGTTTTTTACCTGTAAATTTTGTTTTAGTTCTTTGTAAATTCTTGATATTAGCCCTTTGTCAGATGGGTAGCTTGAAAAAATGTTTTCCCATTCTGTTGGTTGCCAGTTCACTCTAATGATTGTTTCTTTTGCTGTGCAGAAGCTCTTAAGTTGAATTAGATCCCATTGGTCTATTTTGATTTCTGTTGCCATTGCTTTTGGTGTTCTAGTAATGAAGTCCTTGCCTATGCCTATGTCCTGAATGATATTTCCTTTGTAACTGAGCACTGTGATCAATCCTCCTAGTACTTTAGCTCACTTATTCCTTATAACAATTCTATTTTACAGTTGAGGAAATGGACTTAGACTAGGAAACTTGCCGAAGGCTTAGGATGAATATATTTCATCTTGAAAGATAGGTGTGATTTGAGCTGTCACTGACAATATCAGACTTTTTATATCAGATTTGATTGATGATAGATGACATAAATTGGGTTCTTAATATGTCAAGAATTTTTCTAAGTGTTATTAACTTATCTTCACAGCAGCATAAGAAGGGAGGTAGATTATTGTATTTTGGAGATGAAAAATGCAGATATTGAGGGGTTTAGTAGTCAGGCCTCAGAGGTCCTGTAGCTAGCTGCTAAAAGACCTTGCCAAAATTTAAACCATGAAAGTCTCTTTAATGGTGTGACTCTCTGCTGATTTGTTTTAGAGTGTTTTCTTTAAAATTAGGTTTGAACCAGGCATGTGATGTGAAGATTATTTAAGATTTCTTTTCCCATTTTGAATAATTTTCTGTGTTTTCCTAGCCAAAGACATTTAATGTTAGTTTTTATTTTGATACAATTGTCTCATCAGTATTTTTACATTACTGTCATCAAAAGGCTGTTGCTGAGATTAATCATGCAATGTGTTTAACTAAAAGATGAAATAAAAGCCACATGTACAGACCAACACACGCAACTGATTTATAAAAAGGTATAGAAACAATTTCATGGAGGAAGGATCTTCTTTTCAACAAATGGTGCTGGAGCAATTGGACATTCGAAAAAAATGCAGCTTGACTAAAGCCTCATACTTTACTGAAAAATTAACTCAAAATAGATCAAAGGCTTAATGATTAAATTTAAGAATATAAAACATTTAGAGAAAAATCAGATAGAGAATATCTTCAGAGCTAGGCAAAGAGTTCTTATTGATTACACCAAAAGGATGATATGTAAAAAAAGGTTTTTTTCATAATGTGGACCTTGAATTAGTCCATTTTCACATTGCTAATAAAGGCATACCAGAAACTGGGCAATTTACAAAAGAAAGAGATTTAATGGACTCACAGTTTTATGTGGCTGGGGAGGCCTCACAATCATGGTGAAAGGCAAGGAGGAGCAAGTCGCTTCTTACATGGATGGCAGCAGGCAAAGAAAAGGCTTGGGACAGGGTAACTACCCCTCATTGAACCATCAGATATCGTGAGACTTATTTACTCTCATGAGAACAGCATGGAAAAGACTCACCCTCATGATTCAATAACCTCCCACCAGGCTTCTCACACAACACGGGGGAATTCAAGATGAGATCTGGATGAGGACACAGCTAAACCGTATCAGACCTCATCAAAATAACAAAGTGCTCTGTGAAAAACCCTGTTAAGAGAATGAAAAGATAGTGAGAGACAATATTTTAAACCCATAGAGGACAAAGAGATTGAATCTGGAATATATAAAGAATTCTTGATAGTCAACAGTTTTAAAAATACAAAATGATCAAAAGACAGACATGTTTCCAAAGGGAAGATGTGGATCGCAAATAAGCGCAAGAAAAGGTGTTCAGAATCATTTGCCATTAGGAAATTTCACATTCACACTACAGTGAGACCACTGAAAACCTATCAGGGTGGCTAAAATTAAAAGTAGTGGGCGGGGCATGGTAATCCCAGCACTTTGGGAGGCCAAGGTGGGTGGCTCACCTGATGTCAGGAGTTTCAGATCAGCCTGGCCAACACGGTGAAACCACATCTCTACTAAAAATACAAAAATTAGCTGAGTGTGGTGGCTGGTGCCTGTAATCACAGCTACTTGGGAGGTTGAGGCAGGAGAATGTCTTGAACCTGGGAAGCGGAGGTTGCAGTGAGCATACATCATGCATTGCACTCTAGCCTTGGCAACAGAGTGAGACTTTGTCTAGAAAAAAAAAATAGTGCTAACACTAAATGCTGATGATAATGCCAAGAATTAGAATCTCTTTAACTTTATGTGAATCAAAAATGATAGAATCACCCAGGAAGCAGTTTGGCAGTTCTTAATAGAAATATATGTACTGTTTTGTAACTTCTTATGCATCTGTATTTCAAATAAAAAAGAAAGTACCTGTCAAACAAAGTAAGGTAAGAATGGCTTGTTATATTTATCATTTTGTTATGTTGTTTAAAATATCATTGATAATGTACTCATAGGTGATGTGTGTACTTATTTTTTAAAAAGTTTTTGTCTCCAGCTGCTTCATATTAAAATGTCTGAAACATTCTAGCAATTCAAGAATAAAAATTTTCTTTAAAATGTTAGTCATGACCTAGCAAAATGCTTTTTTTGGAAAAATTCTAAGAAACCACTGGGTGGCAGTAAAGGCTTGGGATTTTGTTCATTTGCCTGTTTTTTTTTTTTTTTTTTTTGGAAAGGGGAGAAAATAAGGAACTAATTTGGTTCTGCTTTTAGCAAATAAAAAACCCTGTAATGATAGATATTATTGGTGGTTGGCGAGGTGTAAGCTGCTAATCCAGTCATTAAGAAATAATATTGGTAAAGTTAAAGCAAAAAATAACACACACTCTAAGGGATCAGATGCAGAATAAAACTCTGTAAAAATAAACCTTGGGCCAGCAGTCCAGGAGACGGACAATTTTAGAGAAAAAAAGAGTTTGGCATTTAGTGTTGTAATGGCATGTGGGATTTTCTGGTTCAAAATTTTACTGGCTTTCAGAAAGTCTAAGCAACTCCTTTATTTTTCAGCTTCCTCCTGTAACCTGGTTGCCTGATCCAGGGACTCAGCTCCCTCCCAGATTTGATGTTCCCCAAGGTTCTTGGCCTCTCTTGCCCCAAGAATGGGGGAAGGGGCCCTGGAGGTGCAGAGAGCTTACCATTCAAGTAAATATCGGACCCAAAGAGTTAGCAGAGAGTGATTTATTAAGCAGACAGAGAGAAACAGAAGGACAGAGAGCTCCCATGGCCCATGCTGCCATGGGAGGAGAATCCCGTGGGGATATCCGCACAGGTAGAGAGGTAAAGACTGCTCCCATCTTGTTGCCAGAGGGCATCCCAGAGAGGGAAATTCTTATAGGTAAGGGAGCAGGGGCATTTTAACCCCGGAGTTATTCCCTCCTCATTCATGTTCTTGTCCAATGAGAGGAATTCTTGCAAACTTCCTCTGGAGTGATTGATCTTCAGCTCAGAACCCAGATTGGCTGCTTAGGCCCATGACAAAGCCCCTCCTCCCAGGGCTTCTGGGGGGCTTTCTGAAGAACGAAGCTCACCTGGAATTTCTACTTAGCCCATGTGTAGGAAAGTTAGACAAAGAACTTTACCTTTGAAACCCCTCTGGTCCCCGATGGGGGTGTAGATGGAGGTATGGCGTTGGGAAATTCTTTCCTTTGAAACACAGGCAATTTTCCTTAACACAGTCTCTTTCACTGGGGCTAACAGTGAATTAGACAAAATCAAACTGCTCTTTATTTCTTATTTGGGAAATAGTCTTTTGCTTTTAAATTTATAGATGAAAGTAATCCAGAATATGAGGAAAATTATAGATTCTCCTCTATAGGAGACAGAATATATCACATTTTAAAATATGGTATCACATTTCAAAGTACTTAATGTCTTTTCATCTTGACAAAGCTGAGAGAAAATCTCTATACAACCTAGTGCATTTTTCATAAAATTTACTTGCCAGGAGCAAATTAAGACACTGACTTTAAATAGCAAGTTTGAAGAGATCCTATGCTTTTCTTCACAGCTTCACCTCATGAATACATCTCATTCTAAATATACAGTCATCAAGGATGAGGCACTTATTTGCCTATGTTACTGTTCTTTTGTGTCATCATAATGTCAGGTAAAATAAAACAATTGATATTAGATCTGGCCCTACCCAGGTAAAGACACATTCAAAGTCTCTGCTGAATATTTGCAACAGTATTATCAAAACAGATTTCCAGGTGAATCAGGCATCAAAACAATTTACAACCAAAAGGTCCAGTTTTTAGTCTGTCTTCTAAACCTTATGGCTGCAGGGCAATGAGGATGGAGCAGAATGTCTGTAATGAGACAGCTACAGGGAGGTAGGGATAATAATGCATCGTATCATTGTGTGATTTGAGTGTGAAATGCCATGAGAAAGCTTAGCACTGTTCCCATCTCAGCAAACGCCGAGTCATTCCTCTCTGCAGTGAGTACATGGTTGAGGTTAGAAACTAATAATGCATAGTCAACTCTTAGCACAGCAGACTGTTTAAAGATAAAGAGGTAATATTAAAGCCTTGGTAGAGAGATAAATCTAATATTTCCTCATTTATTCTTATTTACTTTGTCTACATCAGCAAATTTAAGAAATATGGTTTTCATAATGTAGTCATACATTATCCGCTTTCTATGGAAATAGCAAATTAAGCTTTCTGAGGACTGTGGATGTTCATAAGATCTGTTTTTTCTCTAGAAGCATAAGATTGATTATTTTTTCTTTAGTTCTGTGAGTCAACCATAAAATAGTTAATTCACAAATAATATGACTAAGTCTACTATAATTGTTTGGTAACAAGATGAAGCAATTAAAGTGTCCTCACCGCTTCAACATTGGTTAACTTTCTACTTTTTCCTTAGCTTTGATCACAACATTATCTTTGATTTGAAGACTGAAATGCTTCCTGAAGAAAATTCTCTGGAGACACCAAGGCCAATGAAGAGAGAGTGACAATTGACAGTGATTCTTAAAAATCCATTGGGGTATACACCTTTTTTTCAAAAATATGTTAAAGCATTTAAAAACCTTGCATAAAATGTATTTTTCATTTCTCTTCACTCTGCTGACCTCTATTCCTACGTTTTCAACTCCTACATTTTTCTGTTTGTCTTTTGCTTGTGAATTTGTCACTTAACATCCCGTCACTGGTTCAGGTGAATCTTTTGGAGAGGACATGTAATACAGATAGCTGCAAACAAGCATTCAGAGAATCTGGCCTTGGCACTCAAAGTATAGGTGTTACTTTTATGAAGATTTCAGGGTTAAATATTATATTTAAATAAAGCTATGACCTTACCCAGGTGATTAGAAGCTGCCTTTTCTTGAAATTGGTCTCTACAATCTCCTAGCAACAACATTTAAGTGACTTTTTTTTTAAAATTCTTTTAGGAAAAGTGATGGAGGAGTAGATTAATATTTTACTGTTGCTGTTAATTTGAGTGCTATGTGCAGCATCTGTACCCTAAAGCAGCACATTCCTGAGAAATTGCCTGAATCTTTGCATGAAAAGAAATTGTCCACTACATCATAAAGAGGCCCTTTGGAACTGCACTTACAGCAAATTTCAATACTTTATGTCTTAAAATTGTACTGTGATAGATAAGTCAGAGCATTCCCCTGACAAGTGTTTGATGGCAGTGACCTGATTGCCAGGACTTGTAATTTACATGGAACCTATCTTGGATTGTTTCTTAAACAGCATCACATTTGTGAAAGGAAAAGAAAATTGGGGGTTACCAAAGAAGCTAAAGGGAAGAGTCAAGCTGGGAACTACTTAGGGCAAATCTGCCTCCAGTTCTATTCAAAGTCATCCCTCTGCTCACTGAGATAAATGCTTATCTGATTGTCTCCTTTGAAAAGGCTAATCAAAAACTCAAAAGATGCAACCATTTGTCTCTCACCTACCTGTGACCTGGAAGCTCCCTCCCTGTTTGAGTTGTCCAGCCTTTCCAGAGAGAACCGATGTACATCTTACCTGCATTGATTAATATCTCATGTCTTCCTAAAATGTATAAAACCAAGCTGTGCCCTGACCACAGTGGGCACATGTCATCATGACCTCCTGAGGCTGTGTTATGGGCAAGCATCCTCAATAGTATAATCAGCTATAAAACTCCAACAGGCGCTCTTGAATGCAGTTTTCTGATAACTTTGGACACTATGACATCGGAATAGAGGAAAAACTCAGGACTCATGGAGAGCTGAAATGTTCATAAATATCAAGCAGAACAGGAATTAACTGCATGGACTGAACTAATAGATGACCAAAGTAATTGTTTTGACTTTTTGCTTAAAATGTTACTAGTTCTTTGTTTTGTTTTTCAGAGTCAAGGAAACAGTCTTTTGAGCTACCAACAGTTTTTAACAATTAAGTATACTCCTATGAACAAAATTTGGAGCATATTTGTTTCTCTCTATCTGATTTCTCCAGAATTTGGAAACTATTTATGAGTATTCTTAATTTATGGCAATATAGTTATTTGCATAAGTGCAAGAAGAATCTGTTTTCATTTGTAACAGGACACAATTAGAGAAACTGGATATTTTACCAAGGCTTTGACTGGAATGGAGTGTCTTCCTTTAAGGAATCAAACTTGACTTATATAACCAATAAAAACCTCTTGAGAAAACTGGCCCCATACCTTGTCTACATGGTCCCTGTACAGAGTTCCTGACCTGTGATAAGTAAAGAACATCACTTTCTGACAGACCCAGGAACCCCAAATTATCTTGGGACCTCAAGAAGAGAAGAATTCACCCAACTCACACATATTTGATGGTACACACATGATGGCTGGGCGTGGCTTTACATAAATCTTATCTGAGATTCCTTCTATGGAACAAACTTCCATCAAAGCCAATTTGTATTTATTTATTATTATTATTTTTGAGATGGAAGTTCACCCTTGTCACCCAGGCTGGAGTGCAATGGAGCAATCTTGGCTCACTGCAACCTCTGCCTCCTGGGTTCAAGTGAGTCTCCTGCCTCAGCCTCCCAAGTAGCTGTGACTACAGGCACCCACCATCATACACAGCTATTTTTGCATTTTTAGTAGAGATGGGGTTTTACCATGTTGGCCAGGCTGGTCTTGAACTCCTGATCTCAGGTAATCTGTTCACCTTGGCCTCCCAAAGTGCTGGGATTACAAGCATGAACCACTGTGCCTGGCCAGTCAAAACTAAATTAACAAGCCTATATGAGAAATAATTATTCTTGCTGCACTTTATACAAATAATCTGGCCAGGTATAATAAAACAAGTGGGTTCTACCATGATTTGTTTTTAGTAAACATGGGAAACTGGAGAGAGAAAAATTATGTTTTAAAAACTATCGTACACCTGTTGTTGGATTCTAGTCTTGCCTAATGTTTTTCAGTTTTTATTATTTTGAACAGTTTGGAATGAATTCTAATTTTTTCTGACTACAAGTCTCCAAAATAGTGTTTTCAATTTTTCTACTTCTTTCTTTTCCCTTTCCCCTGCATGTTTCCTATTTTGAAATCACCAAGAACATAGGTGTGCTTTCTTAAAGCCCCTCCATCTGAATCTGGACAACTTAAACTTTAGAAGAAAATAACAGCAACCTATCTACCTGCACAAACCACTTTCATACCTGCCTACTGATGTATGGGATTCTGAGGAATGTGACCCTTATGGATTTTCCAGGATTGTTATTTTGTTTGTTGTTATTTTTCTCTCTTCCTCTCCCTAGTTTCTCTTCATATGAATTGTGACTTCTCAACCTTCTAAAATGGGCTTTTCTACTAGCTTGGCATTTACTAGGAATAAACCATTCTAGCCACGACACATCAGACAAAACCTGACACCAGAGACTCATTTTCTTCTAAAATTCTTTCACCAAAAGATTTTTAAAAGAAAGGAGTTGGGGGCAGAATGCCTGCTAGATATGAGATGTGAAAGCCATATAGCTTCTTTATATCTCAGTTTCCTTGTGGCTACATTATTAAATGTGTATACTACTATTTACTAGGCTGCAGCAGCGATCAAATGGGAAAATTTGTTGAAGGTACTTAGCATAGTATATGTCATGAAGTAACTTATTGTCTTTTACATAGTGCATGTTTTTTGAGGCATTGGTTGCTAAAGTAGTAATTTTTGGCCAGCACCTGGGTCCAGGTTACCTGAGGCTTTGCCATTAGGAGTGTGATCAGAGGAGCAGCAGCACTGGCCTTATCTAGGAGCTACTTAGATCTACAAAATCTCAATCACAGTTTCTGGCCTAGGCCTACTGAACAGAGACTTGCAATGTAGCAAGATTCTGCAATGATTTTTTTTTATGCACATGAGATTTTTGAGATGCACTTAAACATAGGGTATTTTCTCATTCTTATTGGCCTCTATAATAGGTAAGTCAGCTTACTTTCTCCCTTTCTAGCCATTGTACTATCCCCCTGTGTCTCAATACACATAGATACACAAGGCACATACGTACATCTATATATGTGTTTGTATGTGAATTTATATGTTTAGTCATTATATGTATGCTTTGTGTGAGGCAGTATGATAAAAACTTAGGTTTGGGCTGGACACGGTGGCTCATGCCTGTAATCCCAGCACTTTGGGAGGCCGAGGCAGGTGGATCACGAAGTCAAAAGATTGAGACCATCCTGGTCAACATGGTGAAACCCTGTCTCTACTAAAAATACAAAAAATCAGCTGGGCATGGTGGCGCGTGCCTGTAATCCCAGATACTCAGGAAGCTGAGGCAGGAGAATTGCCTGAACCCAGGAGGTGGAGGTTGCGGTGAGCCGAGATCGTGCCATTGCACTCCAGCCTGGGTAAGAAGAGCGAAAACTCCATCTCAAAACAAAACAAAACAACAACAAAAAAATTTAGGTTTGTTAGTGAACAAGATTGTCTTTACTCTCCTAGAATTTGAAATCACTGGAGGACAAGCATCATGAAGAAAAGTGGAATCCCTCTGAGGACATAAAGTTGAACCAGGAATAGGTAGCAGAAGGATTCACAAGAAAGAAGGTAGACATCCCACCTGAAATTCATGAATTGGTTGTTCTGCATAGCCAGTGGTAAGATTGATTTGCAGTCTCAGCCTCATGACATTAAAAATGTATTTCCATGAACTTGTGGAATCCTGTGAATCCACGGGTTGTCAGTTGAATCAGTTCATTCAATAATTCTTGAGGTTTCTTGGTCTAGACTAAATTCACTTTGGTGTGAGCTCAAAGGAGTCTCTAATTGTTCCCTTAGAAGATTTCGTTTATAGCCTCTCCTCCTAAACTATACTAAGTGAATGGAATTAAGAACTCTCAAAGGGAAGCTTGCTAATTAGAGCTTATTTATTACCAAGCTTTGTAATCATACAGATTACTATTATCATATCATAGATTTCAAATATATGCTAATATCAATAATTATTCATTAGATACTAGTAGATTATTATTCAACAGTCAATAACACATTATAAAAATATGTGATTATTATAATTTGTAATGTTATTCATGCATCATAATCAGATTTGTGAATGGCTTTGATTTTCTATTCCAAGACATAATAAAAAGTCTAAAGCTTGAGCTTTCCTCACTGATGTGATTCCTCAGTTGATTGTTCCTCTATTCTGTAGCCTGATCTCTGATCCCGGAAGTTACTTACCAGGAGGTCAGTACATAAATGAGTTTCATAAAATTCTCCAAACTGAATAGGACTTTGTCTCATATTGCATTGTTACACAGAGATTTGACATTTTTAAAACCTCCGATATCAGAGAAATAAGGAAGCACATTTGTTAACCTAAGAAAAGTAACCTTTTTTGATGGGCTGAGGAAGTTAAGGAAACTGTCTTTGGCTCTCCATGGGTGTGTTGACTGGTTTACACGCTTGCATTTACTTTTAAATTGTGTGCATATTGAAGTCTTCTCTCTCTCTATGGCTTTTATTCACAGCAAAGCATACGGACCACTTTGAGGGGTGTACTGATTCATGAGCATTTGCTTTCCAGTACTCAAAAATCCTATCTGGACACCATACCACCATATGAGAGAAGCTTATGAGGTAAGTACTGTCATTATTACCATTTTTTAAGAGAGGATACTAAAGCTCAGTAGTGTTTATCACTTGAGCTTGTGATGAAATGTTTTACCCAAAAGAGGCTGCATAGTCCAAACACTTAAATACATCCAGTAAAGATTCACCTAGATTAATTGCTTTTTACCCAGTCTGAAGGTGATGAAGGATAGCCCAGTTTTCTTTGGGAATATTTTATCTGACCACATTTTTTTTTTCAGCTACGCATATTCTTAGCTGTCTTTTGTCTGAATTAGTATGGAATTGAAATTTTATTTCATTTACAGCAGTTTTATTGTGATATTACTTCCATACCACACAATTCACTCACTTAAAGTACAAACTTCAAGATTTTTAAATGTATCATTCCATTTATTTTATTTTCTTAATTTTTAAAATATATTATTGACACATAATAATTACACATATTCATGGGGTACAATGTGATGTTTCAATATATTATATAATGACCAAATCAGGGTAATGACAATATCTACCACTTTAGACATTGATTGTTTCCTTGTGGTGATAATAGGGTTAGAATCTTCCTTCTCTTCTAGCTGTCATGAAGTGTATACTATGTTGTTATTTGCTGTGGTCACTCTATTGTGTGATAGAACACCAGGACTTACTCTCCTGGTCTCACTGAGCTGGTATTATCAATTTTTAAGGAATCCTGCTCTGATTTAATTTAGTCACTGGACAGGGAATATCATTTATTTTTCTTTTTATTTCTATATAATTTATTTTGTCTTTTTATCACCTTGCTAAAAGATCACCCGCTTGCTAGCTATGTAAACCTGGGCAGGTTACTTACCAGTTCTGAATCTCAATGTCCTCGTCTATAAAATGGGGTACATAACAATAATACATGCATTATAGTGTTATAATAAATTATGAGTTAATTTTTAAAAAGTTACTATAACAGTGCTTGACATATAATAAGAGCTATGTGTTTGCCAAGAAAAAAATAAAGAGGGATAATATATCCAGAAAATTAGCTTAATTTTTTTCTAGATAATTTCTAATTAACTTTCTTCAATTACGAGAAATTGAAATAGCTGGGTGCAGTGGCTCTGGGAGCTGAGGTGGGCAGATAGCTTTAGACCAGAAGTTTGAGATCAGCCTGGGCAACATGGTGAACCTCTCTGACACCACGTCTCTACCAAATAATACAAAAATTAGCCACAGGTGGTGATGTACTGTAGTCCCAGCTGCTTGGGAGGCTAAAGTGAGAGGATTACTCAAGCCCCAGAGGTTGAGGCTTCAGTGAGCTGAGATTGTACCAGCATACTCCAGCCTGGGCAACAGAGAGAGAGAGAGAGAGAGAGAGAGAGAGAGAGAGAGAGAAAGAAATTTAAAAATCAAAATACAAAATCCTGGCCCCTTAGTAGAAAAATCAACATTGTTTTTTTTAGAACTATTTTCAAGGGCTTATTGGAATGGTACCCTAGGGCTCAAAACCCTTCCCTTCTAGGTCATAATTCTCCAACACGGTGTCAGTTATTCAAGGGCTAGGCATAACAGAGAGTCTTCCAGAAAGTTGGTGACTGATAAATGCTGCCTGAATTAATGAACACTTCATTCACTCTTTCTCAGTAATTCTCCTGGAATTCTCAGCTTGGTCAAACACCCACTTTGCCAGATGTCCCTAGTTAGTCCGGATCCTTGTGAGCACAGTTGTCAACCACAACATCACTGTGGTGAGAGAATTCTGACATAATTCGGAGTGCCTGGAAGAGGCAGAGGTTGATAGACTGTAACTTCCAGAAACCGTACCACCAACTTCTGTGTCTTCCAGTTAAATAATTTGAAATAAATTTTTGACAATGAGATGATGGCTTCAGTATCCTGTTTGTATTATCATGAAGAAGCACACCAAAGTATCTCATGCAAAAATATAATAATAGGATAATCCCTGGAATTTTAAACCATTTTGTCCAATGAGTAGATTTTTTAAAAAAGATATTTCTAGAGAAATTTAATATTTAAAAAACATTGTTCAGCACATGCTTATTGAACAATCAGCAAGATAAAATAATCTGTTGTTCACATTCAAACCATTTTTTGAAAATTATAGGTAAGTATTTAAAAAATATTGCCATTGTTTTAAAAGTATTTGTTGATGACCTGTGTTCTTAGGAAGATATGCACTTAGCATATGAGTGTTCACGAATTTTAGTATCATCATTATTATTACTGTTATTACTGGTATTCACATCTTTAATCCCCTTCATTCCTCACCCTTCCACTTCTCATCATCATCCTTTTTGGTCTCATTGCAATCTTCCATGGCTTGCTCAAAGCCTGGCTTTTGGACTCATGCTGCTCCCTAGGCCTCCAAGTCCGGCAAGGGTTTTCTACTGAAGTTTGCTGCCAGAAACCAAGCCTTAAAAATACATCATCACTTCCTCTAACCAGTAGCTAAATGGGATCAGCACAACTAACCCCACAGCCACTCTGCACACACTTTAACTTCTACTGAAGTTATGGCAGCTGTGTCTCCAGCATTGTGTCTAACAGAGTCATGGGAGGAAGATGAAGAAAATGTGGGAAGAGTGAAGTAGGGAGAAAGTTGATACAGTTTTGAATGAAAGCAGAGTAAAGGTGGGTGAATGAATAAGAGAAGAAATCTGTTCCCTACTGAGGCTAAGGTCAGTGGTGCAGAAAAATATGTGGAAAGATGTAAGGGCCTAGTGAAGTAAACATGGGCACAATCTCTTTTTTCCTAAGACTCTTTCAGTTTTCCTTTAATTAAGTGATTTTCTTTTTGAAAATGACATCTCAGAAAATTGTCTTTTTTTATGACATTCTTGTTAGTTCTCTAGGATATGATACTGATATGAGAAAATCTATAGTAAGATGTATTATGAGACTAAGGAAATCCAGTGGTTTTCTATTTTCTTTTGACTATTAACTGTGGTGGCTGCACTCTATGATGAAAATCGATGATACTGTGGATAACACAGGATAATGACAATATTTAAATTATGGCCTTTTTTTGGGGGATGGAGTCTCGCTCTTGTGGCCCAGGCTGGGGTGCAGTGGCGCCATCTGGGCTCACTGCAGCCTCCACCTCCCAGGTTCAAGCAATTCTTCTGCCTCACTCTCCCAAGTTGCTGGGATTACAGGCGTGTACCACCATGCCTGGATAATTTTCGTATCTTTAATAGAGACGAGGTTTCACCAACCATGTTGGCCATGCTGGTTCTGAACTCCTGACCTCGTGATCTACCTACCTCAGCTTTCCAAAGTGCTGGGATTGCAGACACGAGCCACTGCGCCCAGCCTGTTTTGAAAAATGTTGTTGATGTTCTGGGTTTCTGTGAAGACATGCACTTAGCCTATGAGTGCTGATGAGGTAAAGCATGTTTGTTCTCAATGCCTGTATTTGCTTTGCAGGGCTGCCTTAACAAACTACTACAGACTGGATGGGTTAAACAGTGGCAGTTTATTGTTTCAGAGGTCCAGATCTGGGATGTCTCAGACGAAGGTTTGGGCAAGGTTGGTTCCTTCTGAAGGTTATGGAGAATCTTTCGTGCCTGTCTCCTAGCTTCTGGTGGTTTCCCTACAATCTTTAGCTTATGGAAGCATCACCCATGTCTGCCTTCATCTTCATATGGCATTCTCCCTGCATGTATGTCTGTGTCCAAATTTCCACTTTTTGTAAGAACACTGGATGAGAGGCCTACTCTCCTCCATTGTGATTTCATCTTAAGCAGTTATATCTGCAACCACACTATTTCCAAATACGGTCACATTGTGAGGTACTGGGAATTAGGACTTCAAAATATGAATTTTAAGGGGACACCATTCTATCCATAACAGTGCCAGTTTGGGAAAATTTAATTTAATTTACTGTTCTTGGAAACCTATCATTTAGGTTGAGTGTTCCTTCTGAAATAGGACTTCTTAATGAATGAAGCCCATTAACTTGAAAACTTTTCATTGACAAAGTACAAGTTCTAAGCTACCTACATAAAAGCTTTCACATGTATCTCATATGGTAAAACCTACCTACATGAAGTGAGAGAAGGTCATCCAAGTAATTTTGTAATGAGTGAGGAGGGTACAGATGAACACAGGAGTCCAAGTTGTTCCTCCTATAGGTCAGTCCTAAAATTCAGAACTCGTCTTTCAATGTCAATGTCAGGTCCAAGTTGCCTGAAGGAACCCTAATGCTTTTTTGTTCTTGTTTTTCCAAGATAATTACTATTGGGCTAATGGTCTGTTTTTGATAGACTATTTCTATCTCGACTGGATACATTCTTTCTAAGTCTGTCTTCGCCCTCTTCTCCTATTGGTTAAAGGAAATCCTTTGTGAAGCTTGTCTCTAGTCTCTAGATATGGGGTCTGGTAATAGGTAATCTACTCATTCTTTTCCATACACTTTGTCTTTATGGAGCAGGTGCGGCAGGGGAGAGGTCATTGCATTTCTGTTTTGAATGTATTCTCTAGAATACATTCAAAGAGAGAGCAAACACACAAGCTCTCTCTTCCTGTGTTGTGGGAAACTTAGGGGCAGTTACTCATGGAATCTTCATTAAAATGCCCTGAGGAGTTTGAGGCTATTGTATTTTACTTGAAAATGAAGAGTATCTTATTTTTAACATTGAACTGTTAATACATGCAGGGAATTGGAAAGAAATGTGAGTCTGACTAAAAGATGATTCGAGAAAAATCCATAGGATTAACTAGAGTGAAAACAGCAAGAGAGTCATGAAAGTAATTTTATTTGGAATTTTTGAATAGATAAACGTTCCAGTTTGTTTTTTAGATTCTGGTAGGAAAATATACAAGCTGTTTCTCCTCCCCCAGAAAAAGCTGATATCAGAAATAAGTAAAAAATGTAGATATATCTTTTCCCATTTACTAAAATTCTTATGGAAAAGGGGCTTCCAATTATCCAAGGAGGGATTTTTGAATAATATGCGTGTGTACTTGCATGATTGACAGAGAATTTTTGAGTCTATTTTCTGTAAAAACAT